CAGCCAGAAAGGCACACCTGGAAGAGTCCTGCTCCCGACTCAGCATCTCAATACTCCAAAATAGCGACCTCCTTCCTCGGTGGGTCACAGAGGACTAAAAAGCTTTTTGCACCACGTTTCTCCTTCGTGTGAGAAATCAGGAGGCTTCCGGAATGCCGTAGGGAAACTTCCCAACTGAGCATGCGCAAAAGAGTGGCGGCAGTGCTATTGTACCACGCCAACGTTCACAAAGACAAACAAGGCAGAAGACGTCATAAATATAGCTGCTGATTTTGCTGCAACTTCCGGTTTCTGGACTGTTAGGTGCAGATCAGAAGTTGTTCCCTACAGAAACACAGAGCATGCTAGTTTAAACATCGGTTTTATACCATCCTTTCATTGTAATGATTACAATCTACTCCAAGCATGATCATGCAACAGTATTTGCTTCTATTAACTCTCTTTTGGTTTCAGTTGTGGTTGTTTATAGAGGGTGGAGGATGTACACATAATCACTGATGAATATACTATAGTTTAAACAACCAATGTGCACATTCTGGTAGCATGCATCCTGGCCTCTAGTACTCAGTCTTTCTTTTCCATGAGGTTGGAATATTCAGCAGCTCTCTCTCTCCATGCCATCATCTCTGCCTCCATCTCTGGTGTCACTGTGTCTCTGGATAGGGTCCTGAATGCCACCTGTGCTCTTCTCCCTTGGTGGTCCTAGGCTCCTGTTTCTGGGTTGTAAGATGAACTGCCCCTCCACTTTTATTGCAAAACTTCTACCTCTACAGTCTTGACAGTCATGAGTAGTCATGATAACCATTACTAATGACTGAATCATAAGAATCATATCTCCATCTGTTTTCACCAGACGTGTCTAGACAAAATGAAAACTATTCAGTTGGAACTCTACCTTCCAATGCACACTTTTCCTTTTTTGCATTTTACATTTATTGAGCAATCCACTGGGTTACAGACATTGTGTTAATAATTTTACATTTTTAAAATAAATGTTTTATTTTGAATTGTGTGATAGTTTACATGGGAGAACATTAGTTTTACATTCATTCTATCATATATAGTTTCAATGCCATAGTTACCATCCCGAGGATGTATCACCAAACCAAAGGGTGTATGCTGCAAACCTGCTGCCCCACCCCCCACCGGTCCTCATCACACAGCCCCTTTCCCTCTCTGGATCTCAAGTCCACAGCCACTCCATCTCTCCACATCACCTTCTCTGCCTCCATCTCAGGCCTCACTGCTTCTCTGGGTGAGGTCCTGCTCTCTGCTCTTATCCATTGATGGTCCCAGGGCCCTCCACTCCTAGATTGAAAAGTTAGTCACTCAATCCTTGCTGTAAAATAACCACCTTTACATTTCCAACCCTCATAATCAGTCCTGACGACAGTTATTCACTATTGCATCATAAGAAACCTATCTGCACTTCATTTCATCAGCCCTTCATGTACAGGCTTGATACTATTCAATGGATAATCTACCTTCATCCATGCCCTCTAGATGTAGGTTCACTCTTGAAAGTTTGTAATCCAGTCCCTTCTTACCTTTGTATCCCTTCCCCCATTTTGGGTAGTCAATGTCCAAGTTGCCCAGCCCTGTCTACTCAGTATGGAGGGGTAAGGAATAATTCTTGCAGCAAGGATTTGTTTCCGCTTTTGAACTACTGCCTTTATAGGTGTAGGTCAAGTTTATCTAATTGTATTAGATGATGCTTTTTATACTCTTCTTTCTTCTTCACACAAGAATATACAATAACTTAAACAACCAAAGGGCACATTCTGGAAGCATGCTTCCTGGACTCCAGCACTCAGTCTTTCTTTTCCATGAGGCTGGAATACTCAGCAGCTCTATCTCTTCATGCCATCATCTATGCCTCCATCTCTGGTGTCACTGTGTCTCTGGATAGGATGCTGAATTCCACCTGTACTCTTCTCCCTTGGTGGTCCTAGGCTCCTGTTTCTGGGTTGAAAGGTGAACTACTCCTCTGCTTTCATTACAAAACTTCTACCTTGAGAACAAACAAGATGGTGGGTCATGTGGAAGTGTGGTAAAGAGCTCCGCCAACAACACAGAATACCCGACCAAGAAGGCTCAGGGGATGGTCCCAGAACTCTGAACCACATATAAAGGAATATTTGGAAGGTTGGAAGGCTTACAGCTGGGGGAATTTGTGGCAGAAGCAAGAAACCTATTGCTTTGTAGTCCGGGAAGCTCGGCTGCCCCAGGAGCTGCATCTTGGATGAGACCAAGAGGGGGAAGGTACGGAGCGGCCACAGAAGTCTGGCAGAACCACTGAGATAAAGGTGTGGACATTCTTTTCTTTTGGTATCTGTTCATTGGTTCCTTGCTGTCTGTGTACCTCCAGTCATGTGACTATAGGGGTGCCTGAGCTAGTGGGCACCCCAGCCCCACCCTTGGAGTGTTCTACTACGCATACGCACAGATCTCCTTGAAATTTAAAGAGACCGTTTCCAACTAAAACCAAACGGCCACAGCCGGCCCTGAACTGTTTCAACTAGAAAAAAGACCTAAATGGGGATTGTGGAGTGGGACAAGCAGACAAACGAGGAAATAAGCCAAAAATTAAATCCCTAAGTTACGTCAAAACTACCAACAGTGATATCTTGAAACTTCTCAGGAAGAAGAGTGAAAAGGGAAGCCCATTTCCTGATCACATCTACCTGGAGGCATTCAGAAGCATAAAAAAATAACAAAATACA